ATGCAAATAGGGACTGCTTCATCGTGTAGCAAGCGATGTGGGCTCACTGGTATAATTTATGTAAACACCATATCAGGATTAGCATATTTCTGGTTGTGACGCTGCATAAGCGTGCCATCTGACAGTCATGGCTAGCTTTATTGTCTTCATCGTCTGATCTCGCGACTTACGGAAGTTGTCGATCCGTACATTGTTTCAAAATACAGTTATTATGGAACAGAGCATGTGTACGGACACTCAGCTGGCACCTCTACAACCTACCTTTCTATTATACGCATTTCCAAGATTCGAGCGCCGTTGTGACCTACACCTTAGGATTTGGCCCCTGATGAATTCACTCAACAAGAACTATCTTACATGTCCACCATAGACAGGTCCAAGCCGAGAAAACTGTCAAATATCGGTATTCTGGCAACTACAGGTTACATAATACTGAAAAAAGCAGGCTATGAGAAAAGCACTTGTGCAAACTTCAGGCATGAGCGACGCAGTGCGGCTTCCGTGAGCAGGTTCCAGTTTGACAGTATGAAATTTGCCCAAAACCATGTGTGTTTGTCTATCAAACATGTGGCAACTGAAAATATGGAAGTGCACTTCGAGGAATGTAGAGAATTTCAGGCAGACTGAGATGTGAACTGAAATGGGGTGTGGATTCTAGTGAAACAGGCGGTACACACAGGATGACAACAAATAGCCCAGTGAGAGCCAAATTCAAATTTGTTGGCTCCCTGAACCTAAGCAAATCGATGTACTAGAATACCAGGTAAAAAGGTCAGCTTTTTCTTAAGCCGTATCATCTAGCATCCAGCGAACCTCTAATTCGGAATTGGTCCTTCACTGGGAGTTTTCTCTGGCGACTGTCGTATATCCGGAGGTTCTGTGTTGTGGCCGTTTTTTCGCCCTCGCTCATGCTCCCATCAAAACTGATAGTCTCCGTGATAATCAGAGGTCTGATAGAGCTCTTCTTTCGGAAGGCCAGTTCTCGCGCTACCTCATCGAAAGAGCGATTACGGGTTTCCGGCATGAAGAAATAAAAGAACACCCAACAGACCACCACAACCACCAGAAATGGCAGAAAGGAGTA